GAGTAGAAGGAAAAATGGATTCAATAAAATTTCAGCAAATTTTGGATGGTAACTTGATGCCATCTGTGAAAAAGCTGAAGTTAAAGAGAGGATGGCTTCTACAAATGGATAATGATCCTAAACACACCTCGAAATCCACGGAGGATTACATCAAGAGGCGTAAACTGAAGGTTTTGCCATGGCCTTCACAATCTCCTGACCTCAAACATAATTGAAAATCTATGGATAGACCTTAAAAGAGCAGTGCGTGACAGACAGCCCAGAAATCTCAAAGAACTGGAAGACTTTTGTAAGGAAGAATGGGCAAAGATACCTCAAACAAGAATTGAAAGACTCTTAGCTGGCTACAAAAAGCGTTTACAAGCTGTGATACTTGCCAAAGGGGGCAGTACAAGATATTAACTCTGCAGGGTGCCCAAACTTTTGCAGACGCCATTTTTTTGTTTTCTGTTATTTTGAAAGTGTAAATGATGGAAATAAAATCTAACTTTTGTTGACATATTATAAGAATGTCTAATCTGTAATTTGATGCCTTTTGGAGATTTTTTCCATCTTTCCTTGGCTTCTTTATGCACATTAATACAAATTTTTAGCTGGGGTGCCCAAACTTTTGATCCCCACTGTATATAAAATCCTGTATAATAATAATCCCATTGCTACATAAATTTAAACTAGATCTTCAGGAGGTGGGATAAGGAATCGTTTACTTGGCTTGGTCATAATAATATCATTAAAATGAACAGGATAGCTAAACTCATTTACTTTTTACAGTCCTTACCAATTAAATTGCCTCAGGGTTTCTTAAATGATCTACAGGCAAGATTTTTGAAGTTTATATGGGCAGGTAAATGGGCAAGGATAAGGAGATCTATTTTGACTCTCCCAAACCCTTTGAAATATCATGAGGCAATCCATCTGGGTAGAGTATTAAACTGGTGCTCTAAACGGGAGAAAAAAAAACAAATGGGTAGACTTGGAACAGGTGGTAGTGGGTACTCCTTTGGCAGGATTTCCCTGGGTGTTAAGCAAGGATACTCAGTTAGGCTACCCAACATCCTCTGATTGGAATTACACTGAAGACTGTCTGAACGGTGTTTAAAAACGCAAATCTTTCTCCGTCTCCAAGTCAGTTGATACCGATATTGGGCATCCCTGGTTTTAGACCTGGATTGAACGACCCCCAATTTGATGTCGTAATTTGTCAGGATATTTTCTGTTTGTACCATTTCAATCAAGATAAAACGGTTCTTAAAGAGCCACGAAATTATGAGTAATTTTTTCTATAACTTGGATGTTCTTCGTTGTGCACAGTTAAGGACATATCTCCTTGAATGTCTATTAAATTTTGCAGATAAGCAGATGGACTGGCAGGAGCACCAGAAATACACACAAAGGAAGCAATACAAAGAGAACAGGATACTTTTTCATGTAAGTACATGGTATCGCAGGCACATATCAGGAATATGAAATGTTGGGTTTACATATTCTTTAAGTGGGAAGGGGGTCAAATAGGATTTCTCTCTCTTTAACTTGTAAGGATATTTAAAGAACATTGTGTACTGATGAAAGGATAACCCTCTGATCTGCTATTAATGAGTAATTACTATGTGGAAAAAGCTACAATGTCACATCTAGCTTTTGACACTTCAGATACTGTTCTGCAAGTGTCAGCTGTCAAAATGACAGCCACAATTTGACAGTTAAAATGTTACTAAACCCAGGCCCCTACATTCACTATATCTGGTCTCCCACAGTACACAGAACAAGGAAATGCAATTATTTTAGTAAATATAAACTGCTTAATACCTTTTCTCATTAGCAGTTAGAAGTCACAAGACTGATCTAACAGTATCCTGCAGAGCACTGATGATTAAAACTTGTAGGAGTTTTCCTTCTGCTCTAGGAGGATGCAAAACCCCTGACCTCTGCCTGGACAGTGCCGATTGGCCCTGTGCTGATCACATGCACTCTCCCAAGAAAAAAAAAAAAAAAAACCTCTCTAGCAATACACATAAAACTGAGGATGTGCAGAGTGTCTCCACATAATATGTCTTATCAGGAGCTATGATGGGGACATTGGAAGAAGGAGAGGATCAGAGAAGTCTGGATCAAACCACCTTTTTACACAATGCAGAGGATTAACCCTTAGGTTCCACAGTGAGTATAACAAACATGCTTTACTGCATATAGAGACTGATTTTACGGTTGTGGGCCAAAGTATATCAATAATGTTTTTCAGGACATGCCTGGTACACAAGTCCAAAACTGGTTAAAATTATTTACACTTAGCTGAGATTTTTTTTTTTATGTTTAAATGTAAAGTACTGTAAAAAGAAAGGTTTTAGTCACTTGTGAAAAATGCTGTGACACTGAATTTGTAATGACATTCAATTTTTTTTCCTACGAACAAAAACGGGAGACAAATTCTGCAGCTGCTACAAAATCACCAATGTGACCTGGACCTTGGGGTTCAAAAAACTTTACACCTGTGATGACCAATAAGACATCGAAGTAAGATGTTCATACTTATGCAGTGGTTTTAGTAACTGCATTTAGGGAATAAGTCTGAATCTGACAGAATAATCTGAAGCTGACATAAATCCTGTTTTATCCAGATCCCTCAAAGTGGAATGCATGCCACGGGATGTTGATCGAGGCCTCCTAATATAAACATTTCTTCTGCTTGATATAGAGACAGGGAAGATGACACTTCTATCAGCCATAGCAATTGTGAAACATTTATCAGAAACTTGTTGTACTGACTGATAATCCTAATAAGTGAGCTCTCCGTTCTTATCAACTGGCAGGGTAAACATACAATAAAGCATGCTTGTTTGGAAGCATAAAACACTAATATATTCTACATGGCTTGCATATAAGCGGAAGAAAAAGGCTGAAAGCCAAATAAAGATCCATTATGCTCAAATACGATTTGGCATTATGCACACACAAATCCCCAAGAGTAAGCCAGTCACAATTTTCCTAACGAGAATCAATCAGCTTAAAATTCAAATGTCAATACGACATCTTTCAAATTAGCATATCTAGCCGGCTGCGTGATTTAACCTTTTCGTACAACATCAAGGATTAGGTCACTAGTGACTAACAGAAACACAGCAGCTTTTCCATAGCACTGCCATACAACCTACACTGATTAAACGGGCTGTTGTAAGAGACTTGATAACAGGACATGTTTCCAAATAATCCTCAGAAGTGAAAAGGATAGTCTGCGTGTTTACATCTCCCCTAACACCTTATTATTTCACATGAAATGGAATTGCAATTGTCAATAGTATATAATAAGATATAATAGTGCAGCACTACAGCTCACCTGTGATCTATATATTGCGCAACAAAGTGCCCAACAAACAATTGTGTGACAATCTAATTTTGCTGGGATAAAAACAACTCCAGTAAATACTGCATAGCTACATCCGAGTGGATGCAAGCATAGTAGCATTATACTAAAGAAAGAAAGTAACATAATCAACAGAAACAAGGAAATAAACAAGAGGTAAAGAGAAGCATTCTATTCCAAGTAGATGTATCCTGCAGAACATTGGCCTGAAATGCTAAAAGGTAGGTTAGCCATATATTTCCATTAGGTAGGTGACAATCTAGGAATTGCTAAAATTGGGCTGTGTAAGTGATGCACTGTGCAACATTGCACATTCTTTTAAGGGTCATTTTTCTTGCACTGCACACAATGTCAGACTATGTTGTAGATACCAATTCAACGACAAGATCTGTAAATCTAATGCTGATGTTACATTAGACCATTCTAGATCATTTCCTAGGTCCTAAACTAAACTTGGCAGCGTTTCAGACTTTAAATGACTGCAAATAGACAATGGTCACCTGCACTCAAAACTGGAGGGCTCTCTGGCCTCTTATTTGCCTTGAAGGCTGCAATCAGAAGACAGTAGTAGTCTGTGCTCTCATAAGGCCAAAGCATAAGGTCAAGGTCACTTTTTGCTACACAACTCCCCAACCACCTGTCAATGGTATGCTATCAATAATTCGTTGGAGAAAGCATGAAATCATGGTTTGTAGCCTTGGCACAGCAAGAAACCTTTGATTTGTTTTTAAAATAAAAGAGGATCTCTGAATTCAGAGACAGATTTTGCGAGCAAATTTAGAAAGGTTCCACAAAAATGTCTACAGCGTACCTAATTCAAATTTTAAAAAATTTATAAAAAGTAAAAAAAATAATACATCACAGTTCACTAGTCCAATTTGATTTTTGCCCGGTGTTCCACTTTTCCTGTTCATTCATGTCTACCCTTGTAAATTCACTCTGCCTATGGAGTAAGCCATGGTTATCACACAGGCTAAACTTGTATGCCTTTGTACATGGGGATTGATGGCATTAGTAGAGGATTGCTATGCTTTCCTTTCAGCTTACAGAATGTGACAAGGACACTACGTTTCTGACAAGATCAACAGGTATTTTCTGTACTTTCTGAAAATGTTCTTAGCCTGAAAAATTAAAACCAATTCAGCCAATACCATGATTGGTAAGATGAAGTGCATTACATTTTGGTTTTAAGCTTAGATATGCCCCATTCAATTACTTCAAACAGGTACTGGATGAAGATCAATGGAACCGGAAACAAAAATCCTCCACTGTATCCCATGCAGCTGCACAGTACCCATTTTAGTGTCAAGTGCACATGCACATTGGCCAATAAGCCCATTTCATCCTTTAAGAAGCAAGCCAGTCATGAAGCGCTTATGTGAATATACAATGGTATCCAACTGCTGTAGAACTAAAAAACTCAGAAAACCAAAACCTGGCAATGTGCGATCCCAGGGGTTCCGAATGGAGTTCTAAAGATTTGGTACATACAGGGGTTTATTTACTAAATCTGGTGAGTGCAAAATCAGGTTCACTTCTGCATAGAAAACATTCAGTTTTATTGCCAGCTTTAGTAAATTAACCCCACTGTATGTTTCCATCTTACATGCAATGTGAATAGACATGAGTTAAAGAAAAATACCTTCTTCATACATTTCTTCTTGTATATAAGCTTCCGCCCTGTCCTTCAGAGCATTTACATTCTCGGGCTCCTTTTGCAGGAATTCTGTACATTCTCTAATGGCTTCATTGGACTGCTGATTCTAGAATGAACACATGTATTTTTATATATACTTAACACAGTGGTGTGTAAAAATAGGATACAAATACACACAGTAACTGACAATACTGTGTCCTGCCAACTGTTGCAAAAGGTTGCCTGGAGGAGTAGAACTGTTATCATTTGCATGATCAAGTAACTGAACTTTCATCACACTTTGCGATTCTCATAATACACAGTGTGAACTCAATTTGGCAGTAGCAAGTCTTGAACATTTACCCAGTTAAGTCTGCATTACTAAAGCCTAGAGAACAACCATTCCTTTAAAGAAGAACGAATCGGCAAAACTTTTTTTTTCCATTTTGTATAGAGTAAGGGAGGGTTCTAAAAGGTTTATTTTTGCCATCTTTGTCCCATTGGGGAGATCTACCTTCACTTCCGGTCCATAGCCAAAACAGGAAATGAGAGGAAACATCTGAAAATTAAGGAAATCATTTGCCAGCCCAGAACAAGTTCCCCCATTGGAAGATTTCCCCTCTATTACTATTCTAGGGACAACCCAAAATTTAGGATTTTCCTTTACTTTCAGTGATAATGGTAAATAGGAGAAAGAGAGAGGATGAATCTCCCTAAAGGAGACACAGACAGCAATAAAAACCTGGGGGGTTTGAGTTTAAATTTCACCATCCCTGACCACCACCATGGAATGCTAAGTGTGCCTACCATGACCACCAATGCAGCATGGGGGGGAGGGGGGGGGTTACCTTTCACTGCCTGTGACCACCAATGCAGGGGGGAGTTAAAAGACACCAACTTCCTAGTTAATCCTCGCCATGTGAAGCCACAGGCAGATGCACATCTCTCACCAAATGCATTATTCTCTGCAGGAGACTGAACATTGTAGCTGGCCTCCCGGACGACCTACTTGGTCCTAAGCCTAGGCTGCCCTATAAATGATCTGGCTCTGAATATCAAGTCTGTAGCCCCAATTCATCTTAAATTTTAGCTAATAAAATGAGCTTGACCTGGAAGCTGAAGATTACCACAGTGCTCCGCTGACAAATACACAACTCTGGGGGGGAATATATTTGACCATGATCACTCCTATACAGAAGCTGTGGTAGCTTGATCATAGAAGCCCCTCTGCTGCTGGACTGATGCATGAAGCATATATATATATATATATATATACATACACACACACACACATATATATATATATATTTTTTTTTTTTTCTTCACACAGCCCAATACACGCACCTGGTAATAACTGCGTATGTTGGTAGGGAAAATACCACCATGACTTTGCTTTGTTTTGTAGAATTGTGACAAAGTAGACACAGGTAATGCCACCCATGTGCTTTTACTTGTATTCAGAGATGGGTGTTTTAGGTGGTTTAGAAATCAATCTGAAAAAAAACAGTACTGACAATAATGAATCTGAAAACTTACTTTTGAGTAACAGTGACATCTACGTTCCTGAACTAGAGCAGAATAAAAGGGTACATTCGGTTCTGTTTTCAGCACTGCTCCATATTTAGTGATGGCATCTTCATACCTGCAAGTAGATTTCTTAGAAATTATCTATGGCATAAAAACAAATGACAAAAAAAGAGGATATAAACATCTATAATTTTATATATTTTCCATATTTTATCAGAAAGCACGGGGAATGGTGCCTGCTTTAAAATAGGTTTCCAATGCAGTAAGAGATAAATAAAAGATAATGAGACAAAAAGATTTGAGATTTTAATCTCAGTTAATAATTGTCAGCACGGGAAAATGATGGTTACTGGAAAACTAAATTTTGTATTTATTTTAAGGTTTAGTCCAGCCTTTCTCAACCAGGGTGCCTTGGCAAAATTTCTAAAAATTTACCAAAACGTGTATACAAGCGAGCAGGTGGAACAAGTCTGCCTTTTAGTTACACAAAGCCACAGGCTTTCATTGTGCACCATTACGACCTTCTAGCCGCCAGCGTCCTGACAACCAATGACATCATCAGTTCATAAGGAAGACATCAGCTGTGTGCACAGCATCCTAGCTGACCCTTCCCTGCCCCTCTTCATCAGTGCTGGGGGCACATTAGCTCAGTGATGGAGAAAAACTGAGGGAGAAGAGAAACACTGGAATACTAGTCAGTACCCGTGTGCAAAAGTGTATTTGCTTTGGAAGAATAGATCACCTCCAATGTTGGGTGTTCTATGTGTGTGGATATTGCTGAGGTATATAAACTATTAGTTTTCCACATTCTATTTTAGAATGGGGTGCCTCGGGACTGCCCATAATTGTACAGAGTGCCCCAGGACGGTCCATAATTTTAAAGGGTGCCTCGGTACTGCCCATAATTTTAAAGGGTGCCTTGACCAAAAAAAAGATTGAGAAACACTGGTTTAGCCCATATAGGAAAAGATATAAGGCACGATTACATGGATTTAGTCCTTGTTTTTGACATCAGTGATGTCAACATGTCGTACCTTTCTTCTAGTATGAGTTCTTCAGCTGCCTGGATCTGTTTATTTAGCTTCTTGACTTGCTTGTAGTGAGCAAAGCAATCTTTGTGATCTGGATCAAGCTTCAAACACTCCCGAATTTCACTATTCCATGCAAATTCAAGTTAGAAACTTATTAAATGTATTATGCTAAACCTAAAGAAACAAGCTAAGCATACATTTGAAATACATGTAAGTGAACGGTTTGGCAGAAATATTGAGAACCAATGGGAGCTCAGAGAGCACAGCCAAACCATTGACCCCCACTGCACTGGCAACACAACCTGGTCAAGAATACCATAACAGACGGTCACCGCTCCAATCCAGCAGTATCAGTCTCCCAGGTTTACACTCTGTAATTCAAAGTGCTGGCAGAGACAGAGTACATCTCGCTCGAAGGTACAACATAGCATACAACAGTGGTTCTCAGCCTTCCTAATGCTGCTACTCTTTAATACAGTTCCTCATGTTGTGGTGACCCCCCAACCATAAAATTATTTTTGTTGCTACTTTATAACTCTAATTTTGCTACCATTATGAATCGTAACATAAATATCTGATATGCAGGATGTATTTTCATTGTTACAAATTGAACATAATTAAATCAAATATTTTTTTTTTGCAGTAGTTGATTTTACAGTACATTATTTTACATTTACCAATTAATTATAATTCATGAAGTGTCGTTTTACCTCCATTACAGCTGCTTTCAAACACAGTAGCTGCTTTTAACAGAGTAGCTGCTTTCAACACGGCAGCTGCTTTCTACACAGTACCTGCCCTTTACACATGTATGACTGGTCCACATAAGTACATTATGGCGCCAACCCTGTCACATACACCTGTATTTGTACGGAGTGTATGTGATGGGGTTAGCACAATGATGTCATCACTCCGGTTACTCGTATGTGGGTGTATCTGCATGTGGGCGGACCTGCCTGGAGACGGATAGAGGAGCAGTGTCTCGGTTCCAAAGAGCATCAGAAATATGCGTTTTCCGATGGTTTTATGCAACCCCTGTGAACGGGTCGTTCGACCCCCAAAGGGGTCGCGACCCACAGGTCGAGAACCGCTGGCATACAAGGATCACCGCACACTGTATTCAGCTCCGATGTGAAATAAGTAAAAGATGGGAGGGGATTTGAACTGAAGCCTAGGAGTCATGCCCCTCTAACAGGTTTCCCCCACATTAGGCTTAATCATAGAGATGCTCTACTATTAAGTCCAATGTGGGTGACATATGTCAGAGGGGTGTGACCAGCAAATGGGAATTTGAGCTTAAGCCTGTCTTTCACTTATCTCATACCAGAGTTGAATACAGTGTGCAGCGATACTTGTATACAACTTGGCCAAGAACACACCCTAGTAAACTGAGTGGACAATGAAACAGAAGCAGCTTTGAATAGGCTTTCTGCTCCTTCCTCCTGTCAGCATGCTTCCTGGAAGCAAGAGTGCATACACTGCAAAGCCTAATTTGCCCTCCAAATCCTGGTTTGTGTGATTTACAGAGGGGTTACAGGACACCAACATCAAACTAATTCAGGTACGTACATTATGGCCCAGCTTAAGTTTCATAGACATTTACAAAATTCCAAACTTTTTTTTTTAAGCAGAGGGTATAGTCCTACTTAAACACTATTTGTGTGCCCATACATGGTGAGATAAGTTGCAAAAGGTTTTCTTACATCAAATTATCAATCAGTCCATGCATTGTTTGCCAATGTATTCTAGACTTATAAATACACATTTAGAAATTAAACTGCCAGGGCAAAAGATATGTCTAAAACAAGGACCTCATCAGACACTGTACACAATTCTTCAATAACCACATCTATTGCCAAATTTGTTGTAGACTGGGATACAGTAAAGTACCCCATTTTTATGAATGGTGAACTTTACTCTTGGGAAATCTTACTCTTGGGAATTCCAAGAAGTTTAAAGCTTGATAAAAAGCAACTGCTACACTTTAGCCTAGTACAAACGATGAAAATGTCGGATGAAAAAAAAAATCCTTTTAGGAGCGATCGTACGATAATCTGATCATTAGTACACAGCTTTTGAGAGATGATTGCGACAGTTCATGCAAAATTATCCAAAAGGGACAAGCACAAATTGTTCTTGTAAGAGGACAGAATTAATGATTTTTGGGTAAGCATTACAGTATTTCTCCAAAAAAAAAAAAAAAAAAAAAAAAAAAAAAAAAAGCACACAAGTGAACAAGACCATGCATGCTCAGAAACAAATACATTAGTGGAGCACCGAAATTGAAATTCTGGACACAAACTTCAGGATACACTTGGCCAAAATAAATAAATAATTATATATATATATATATATATATATATATATATATATATATATATATATATATATATATATATATTTCAACTTTTTAATTAAAAAGTGTTACTAAACCCAGGACGCTGCACAGAACATGGAAATGCAATTATTTTAGTAAATAAAAAAACTGCTAGATACCTTTTCTCATCAGCAGTTAGAGCAGTCTTGTGACTTCAGCTGAGCACTGGTTAAAGCTTGCAGGAGAAGTTCTCTAGGAGGATGGAAATCCCCTGACCTCTGTCTGGACAGTGCCGATTGGCTCTGTTCACATGCACTCTCCCAAGAAAAAAAAAAAAAAAAAAAAACCTCTCTAGCAATACACACCAAACTGAGCATGTGCAGAAGGGCACAGGTTCATCAGTGTGGGAATTTGAACAAGAAGAGGGGCAGAGAAGAAGAGATCAAACAGCCATTTTACACAATGCAGAAGATTAACCCCTTTGGTTCCACTGTGAGTATAACAAGCATGCTTTACTGAATATACAAACTGATTTTACTGTTGTGGGTTTATTAACACTTTAAAATCATGAATTTAAATGAATATGAATTTAAAAAATACAATCCAGTATCGTAAAATAACTTTTATGGAAAGTAACACACAAACAATTGGTTGGACAGAATATAAAACAAAATATATCAATGGGACGCGACTTTGCATTGAAATCAATAGGGGGTGTTTTTCCATTGGAGTCAATGGGACGCGATTTTGCATTGAAGTCAACAGACGGTAATTTTGCATTGAAGTCAAGGACATTTTTTGCATCTTTTTTTCTAAAATCGGCGAAGCGCCAATAACCCTGTTGTCGGCCGATAGGTTACAATGGCCGATGTATCAGTGCATCACTATAAATTACATCATCGCAGGAAGTTGTATTCTGTCTTACAAGAATTTTCGTAACTCTTGTAACCTATTTGTTTACAATATGAGACTAGCATTCAGAAAAAAAAAAAAAAAAAAACCCACACGATCATTCGTTTGATATTCTTATTGTGTGTACTAGGCTTTAAAACATAATTCAACTTAGTTCCTAAACACCGATCTGCAGGCATTATCTCCCTTTCATTGATATAGAAAGAAAAGGGAAAAGGGAAAGGTTAACGCCTCTGTCATGTTTGATGTCGGGTTGATGAATTAAAGGGAGTTGAGGAACTTCACTTGTCATGTGCAGATCACATAAACAATCTGTTTTTCACTTGATTTGATAACTGAATTGACTCTTCATTCAATTCAACGAGTGAAGATTTTCAACTCTTAGTACTTCTAGTCAATCAATCTCTGTCTCAGCTGCTGACAAAAACAGCAAGAGTCCATCCAAAACTAAAAAACACAATGTAACTGCAGTTCGGCTTTAGGTTGCAAGCCTGTAAAAACAGCTCATGAATTCCCATTGGTTGCTCTTGCCAACACCTCCACCTTCACTTTCTCAAACCTCTTTAATTCCACTGTATTGTTTTTCATTGTACTGAAAAAATATATAATACCTTTCTTGGCTGTAAAGAAAATTATAGCAAGTCTGGCCAAACACTAGCAGAATTTCAAAGAACATTCGTATGAAAATTCTCATCAGAACTGTTCTCTTCACTGCAGTTAAAACCAATGTGGATTTGATGCTGATTATCACAAACTATTAGAAAATCAGACAAATGTTCTCAAAATGTATTAATTAAATCCTCCTAGTGTATGGCCAGCTTTACGTTGTGTAGCCTACCTAAGTGACATTTCATGGTCCCCCAGTTCATAGTATATATGGCTGACTTTGTAAAAGGCTCCAGTGTTATCACTCTTTAGTTTAGAGGCAGCTTTCAGGTCAGTGATGGCTTTTCCAAGCTCTCCCTGATTGATGTAGCACTCCGCTCGCAGTTCCCGAATCTCTGCATCCCACACACAAGTCTAAAGAAAAAAGGGAAAAAACATTTCTTTATTTACTTATATAAAGTACTTGCAATGTCTTAGTGTGGAACAGCAAGATGGCTCAGTGCGATATTGGAAAACAAATACTACCCCTTCTTAACCTGCAAGCAGTTTCTGTAATTTCTGAGAATCAATAAGAAACACTATCTGAATAAGACCTGCCGTAAACATTCAGGCATAAAACAAAGCAACAATTGCAAAGAATTTCTGCCATTCAGCTCATAAAAACACTTCCGTCTATTAACCAAATGTTCTTTGCCTTTACTGTGGCGATGCATGCTATCTGATGTTATATAATCAAGTTCAAACATTCAGACTTGTATTACAGTGTAATTCTTCGGATATTTCAAATAATTAGCGCACAGAGTACTTTGTCCTTCCTACCACATCAAAAAAACACCCACAAACACAGACAAGAGAATTTATCAAAACTGGAGCAGCTGTGCATAGTAATCAATCAGCTTCTATTTTCAGCATGTTCAGTAAGGCTTTGAAAATTAAAGATAGAAGCGGATTGGATGCAATGAACAGCTACTCCAGATTCTGGATGCTCCAGTTTTGATAAATTCCAAAAGATAATGCAAAAGATAGCAAGACATTAAATACAGAATATTTTACATGGACAGCAGGTATGCCACACCTGGAACATAGATTGGCAAAATTTCATATTTAAAAATAATGATATTACATCTATACTCCGCTGTTTTCAACTAAAATCTGTTAAGATTAAGTGAAAACGTGAAAGTAGTTTTTAAATCATATATTTGCTTGTGGTTTTCAAAATCTGCTTAATAGAGTTAAAGTAAGTTGAATTTTGTAATTTAAGAGCACGTCTTAAATCTTTTTCTTTTGTTTCTGTTACCTCCAGAACAATGTTGAATAAGCTTTCTGCAGTGGTGTAATCCTTTTGATCATAGGCAGCTTCTCCTTGTGAACGCATGCGTTGAATTTCATCAGACTTTGCCAACTGAGAGGTAGCCTCCTTCTCTTCTTGATCACTTGGGTTAGATTTTAGCTAAAAAAACAAAAAACAAACCGTTATTACACAGGAGTTGATTTATAACAAACCAGTTACAGAAAAAAAAAAAAAAACCCTCAATAAGGCAATTTTACTCTTTATCAAAGACAAAGAGGCACTTTATATAATATAAAAAAAAATAAATAATAATATCACCTGTTGCCTAGACGACAATATTGCCTAGTATAAACAGAATTGCCTGCAGATACAACTGACACATTGGCAATATCCAAAAACTGGATGTTTTTCCATCTACATAGACAGACATACAGTTGTGAGGGTCCCCAAAATTATTCAACCCCCACTGAAATTGAGTGTTTTGGCCAGTTTGACATTGCTTTTGATCATTCAGTCCCCATCTTGCTTACATTTACATTAAAGAGGCACTTGTAGGTCAGACAAATATAACATGGAACAGTTATAATGAAATAACCACAAATGTCTTTTCTGTGCTCACAGCATTATCAGTTTTATTCAACCCCCCAAGTGACATTCAATCTTAGTTACTTAGTACAGCATCCTTTTACAGTTATAACAGCTTTTAAACGTGAAGCATAGCTTGACACAAGTGCCACATTAAATATGTCTTGCAGCGATCTACGGGTATCTTCGCCCATTCTTCATGGGCAAAGGCCTCCAGTTCAGTCACATTCTTAGGCTTGCGCACTGCAACTGCTTTCTTTAAGTCCCACCAGAGGTTCTCAATCGGATTTAAGTCTGGTGACTGCGATGGCCACTCCAAAATGTTCCAGCCTTTCCTCTGCAACCATGCTCTAGTGGACTTGGAGGTATGCTTGGGATCATTGTCCTGTTGAAAGGTCCAACGTCTCCCAAGCCTCAGGTGTGTGACGGACTGCATCACGTTTCCATCCAATATCTCCTGGTACTGAAGAGAATTCATGGGTACCTTGCACACGCTGAAGCTTCCCTGTACCTGCAGAAGCAAAACAGCCCCAAAGCATGATTGACCCTACCACCATGCTTCACAGTAGGCAAGGTGTTCTTTTCATCATAGGCCTTGTTCTTCCTCCTCCAAACATAGCGTTGATCCATGGGCCCAAACAGTTCTAATTTTGTTTCATCAGTCCACAGAACACTATCCCACAACTTTTGTGGTTTGTCCACATGGCTTTTGGCATACTGCAGTCGACTCTTCTTATTCTTTGGAGACAGCAAGGGGGGTACGCCTGGGAGTTCTGGCACGGAGGCCTTCATTACGCAGTGTGCGTCTTATTGTCTGGGCTGAAACTTCTGTACCCACATCTGACAAATCTTTTCTCAGTTCCTCAGCAGTCACACGGGGACTTCTCTCCACTCTACGCTTCAGGTAGCGCACAGCAGTCGAAGTCAGCATCTTCTTTCTGCCACGACCAGGTAGCGTTTCAACAGTGCCCTTTGCCTTGAATTTGCGAATGATGCTTCCTAAGGTGTCTCTTGGTATGTTTAACATCTTTGCAATCTTCTTATAGCCATTGCCCTTCCTGTGAAGAGAAATCACCTCTTCTCTTGTCTTCCTGGACCATTCTCTTGCCTTCACCATGTTTGTAACCACACCAGTAAATGTCTAGAAGGAGCTGAGTATCACAGTCATTTTAAAGCTGCCTAATTGGTGCTTATTATGCTTGATTGCTGCTCGGTGACATCCACAGGTGTTTTCAATACCTGATGGAAAGCACCTGTATGAACCTCTGTTCTTCAGAGTGGTAGTCTTTAAGGGGTTGAATAATTGTGGCAATGAAGAAACCACATAAGAACCATTTACTACTGTATTACATAAACAATTGATGTCATTTTAGTTGCATTTGGGTAGTTACAACGTCCTTGTAGGATTTGATTCTGAATACAATTCCAAATGTACACTATAGTCCCTAAACCCCTTTACAGCATTGGGGGTTGAATAATTTTGGTCACAACTGTATCTAGAGTAAGAAATATGCCAAGGGTCCCCTGAGATTCAATCATGTATTCATTCTTCTATACTTAAAGTAGAACTATAGGCAAAACTTTTTTTGGACAGAGTAAGGGAGGGTTATAACCCCTGTCAGTTTATTATTTTCCCCATCTGTGTCCCATTGGGGAGATTTACCTTCACTTCCTTTCCCATAGCCAACAGGAAGTGAGGGGAAATCCCTGAAAATCAATGGAATTCCTTGCGTTTCCCCAGGTCACCAGAACTGGTGTGCCCATTGGAAGATTTCCACTCTATTACTTTTCTGGGAACAACCTAAAATGTGTGGGTTTTCTTTTACTTTCAAATAGAAGAAAATTGTTAATCTGTCACCAGAAAGGAGTTGCACATATAAGAATACATTGCAGTGATTGAGCCACACAGTAACACAAATGAATAACAATGACAATGGAAAGGCCATTTGGATATGGCTAGGTAGGTTTCATAGTCCTCCTCCCCCTTTCTGGGTCTTTGCCCATTTCAACCAATAATTGATTTTCACTTTGAACCTGAATTTAAAATAAAAAAACAAAAAACAAACAAAAACAAAAAAAACACAAATACCAGCCAAATCTTGTTGCTGGGCTCACCATTTTATCTGCTGTAATTTTTTTTATCATATTTTATATTCATGTGGCATATCAAATTCTATTCTACATTTCACAGGTCATTGCAAAAATAGATGTGTGTGTAAATGGCTTGGGAGACACTAGAACTCTCGCAGTCCACCATGTCCACACTATGTGGGAATGCCAAATAATACACAACAGTTTCTTTAAACAAACCAAGCAGGTTAAATATAAAACTGTTAAACAAGTAGGAACATACAATTATGTTAACAGTGTGACAAGCATTCTGCTGGCAGAAAGCAGGCAACCCGCATGCTAGAGAATCAAGAGCAGCAGTAGAGCTCAGCAGATTACATCCCTGTTTTAAAGTCATGAAAATAATGAGAAATTCATCTGTTTCCTACATGACACATTCAATGTGTAATGCAGTCGAGCTGGGTAAAAAACTGACAAAAAAAAAATGCAACACTGAAAAGTGTCAAATTCACAACAGAGAGGTTTATCAAGTTTGCTAAGGTGACTCCAGAGCTCTAAAAAAGATACAGTATATTCTAATGTAATGCACACAATTCTGAAGATTACCTTTAAAATAGGAGAACTGGCACACAGATTATGAAGTGGATGAAGTACAAAGTAAAATCAAACAGACATGTTTACTTAACTAGGACAATATATAGTCTAGCATTGTAATAAAAACAAAGCATAGACTTCACAGGACCCTGAATAATTCCAAGAACACATCATTCTTTTCCCAACTGCCTCATCGGAAAAGTTGGAGACAACTAGAGTGGCATCACCTTTACTGCTTCAGGGGTATGTGTACGGTTGTAGCCATTCCCCACAATGTATGCATTACATGAATCTCCGGAGCACCACAAATGGTCTTCAGGCAAGATCTGTGTGCTGTTGGTCAGCATTCCACTTTGTGAGATAATGGGAAGTGACAGGAGAGAAATTACTTTCCACCGAAGATCTTTGAAGGTACAGAAAGAAAAAAACCTTCCATAAAAAAAAAAAATTTTTTTTTTATCAAAATCATGCTGAGGAAACAGAAGATCTGGCATGGCTACTTGAGGGTACACTACAACTACAACCTATGACAAGTCAGTCCACTGCACATTATGTTACTTTTTACTAAAGTACGGTTTGGTCAGTCATATCACCATCACAATGTTTGCCTTATGGAGGTTACTACGGTACTTATAATGCACTGCTACAACTCATGTTAGCTGAAGTAGCAGTCACTACAGCAAATTTCCATACAATTGCACTCTTGCCCGATAGTACACTCTTGCCTCTCCAAATGCATTCAATCCGCATACCCCTCAACCTCAATAGTAACCGGTTAAAAACCTAACGGTTACCATAAGCCTGACACCAATGATTAACCACACCCTTACTATGAAGGCTGCTGTAAATTTTAGGCACCATTCTATTTTGCAAAGTCTGCTTTGGTAAAAAAGCATTTGCCCATGCTTCTAGCAGCTTTTACTTCCCAAGTACATGTGCTATTATTAAGTGTACATTCTGGATCATTCTTGCCAAGAATAGAACAGTGTGCCAGGGAAAATGCAACACGTACACAGGAGTTGCAAATGTCAGCAGCCTTCCCATAGCTGAAGTGGAACATACTGTAAATGGGGCCAGTAAAAAGCGCCAGAAAAGGTGGCATCAAGTGAAGGTTTGACTGCAGCTTGGACCTGAAGAGCACATACTGAGCAACAGCAGAATTTAGTTTCACTTTTACCCTAAAATGTAGCCCGACACAAACCTAACCTTAGGCCCCTTTTTCAGGAGGACCTGATTGGACCATCCATAGTTCTCTATGGAGCGGCAGGTGTCAGCGGACATGTGTCCACAGACCTGTGCCGGCATCCGATCCTCTACACTAAAAACAGACGACTGGGGATCCATTGCCCATTTGTCCAGTGGATCAGATGGGATGATAGTTGGAGCAGTGCACCAAAAGGATGACAGTTCTGTGTTCATAGAACACCATCCAGACATGTTAAAGTGCACTTTTTGCAATATACATCAAAATCATAAGCGTTTGTTTTAAATATCAGTATAAAAGTTCTGTTTATTAGCCCTGAGAGTTCAGCAGGCTCCTATCATTCAGTAATGCCACTGAATAAATATGAATTATTAATAAAACAGTGGTTGTGCTTACTTTTGTAAGTACATAATTTTTTAGGGCAGGGGCTTAATTAGCAGACAAGGCTAGTTACAAGAATTTAGCTAGGCCACCCTGTATGCCAGTGCTAAAATATAAATTAAATGGAAGACAAAATACCATTATTTGTCAGTTTCCTGACCAATTATTCTACATCTATGAAAAATACATGCAAGATGCTCTCAGAGGAGGGATAATGATTTACACCAAGTATGTGATCTCTTTTAGGAAGAGAATTTAAATGAGACCTGTGTCTGTGTAAACAATACCCTTTACTGAGATCTTTTCAAGCTGTGCATTTGTAGTT